GGATGGTTTTGGTCACTGCCTCCTGTACGATGTCACAGACCTCTGTCTTTAGTTCTTCAGGCACTCCGTCTACCAGATCTAAGTTCATGAACCTATTTGTCATCTCTACTGTATAATCATAAGGGATTTGATTTAGGTCATACCTGCATGGTCTAGTGGTTTTCCCTAATTTCTTCAATTTAAGCCTGAATTTTGCAATAAGGAGGTGCAGTAAAGATCCATCTCCTTCATGGATCACAGCCCTCTAAAGCGACTTACATAACTCAATGAAGCTATGAGTCATGCCGTGTAGGGCTACACTGGGTGAACGGGCCACAGTGGAGAGTTATGACAAATCATGGTCCACTGGAGGAGTGAATGGCAAACCTCTCCAGTGTTCTTGCTGTGAGTACCCCATGAACAGTATGAAAAGGCAAAAAGAAGTTCCTAGACCCTTTAAAAAAAAGACTGCGAATCCATAGACATGATGATCAGTTCAAAGAACATTCATGTGTGATCAATTTGTTGGTTTAAATATGCAGAAACTTCTCATGACACATGAAATAACTTCCATTCAACATTTCTGTGTTCTATCAGGTGTCTGCAGATAGACGTTTTTAACTGTCCTGCAGTACATTCCAAGGAACTAAACGTGGATTTTTAAGTTGTATCTGATATGTAAGACTTCCTAGTGAGTCCCACAGAGCAATTAGCTTCTTGTTTAACCGTTGGCAGCCTCTGGTTGAATGTCAGATGTCAGAGAATGCCGTGTTTCAGGCACCGATGGTGTGTAACAGAGCAGACTGCACATCTCTCTAGTTTTTCCCGGCTGGAGTCGAGTTGATTTACAACGCTGTGTTAGCCCCAGGAGTACAGCAAAGTGATTCAGTTACACACATATGAGTGTACGGGTAAGTTTTTCAGATTCTTTTCCCTTATAGATTATTATGAAATATTGAGTATAATCCCCTGTACCATACAGTTCAGTTCAGTCGCTCGGTTGTGTCTGACTTTTCATGACCCCATGGACTGCAGCACGCCAGGCCTCCCTGTCCATCACCAACTCCGGGAGTTTGCTCAAACTCATGTCCATTGAGTCAGTGATGCCATCCAGCCATCTCATCCTCTGTCGTCCCCTTCTCCTCCTGCCTTCAGTCTTTCCCAGCATCAGGGTCTTTTCCAATGAGTCAGTCATGTGCTATACAGTAGGTCCTTCTTACACTGTTCTATATACTAGATACATACTACTCTATACCTAATGTGCACAGCCTCATCCACTTGTAGGCAGGATGCCTGAAGACCCCTGAACCCATAACCTCTCCTGGACACGGCTTTGTTCACCAGAGAGCCGGGACCTGGCCTCAGACACCAGTGTGCAGGCACTAGACACAGAAATCATACCTATGAAAATCAGCTGATAAAACAGACTAATCAAAGGGTTTGGAGGAGGGAGTGAGAAAGGCAGAAAAGGCACAGATGTACAATATGAGGAATAAAAAGAGTATGATAGAATAAAAATGAAGATACTACTTAGATGTCTATACTTCCAAGATGATTAGCATGAGAAGCAAATGTTTCCTAGAAAATATTGCTACAACTAACATAAGAAAGTATAGAAAATCTGAACCTGTAACACAACAGTCCCACAGAAGAGAAATGAAAGTACTGTGTCTATATGAGAAAAGATGAAGAAATGTTTATAGCTTTATTCATAATAACCTCAAACTGGAAACAGCTTAAACGTCTACCAACTCATACATGGTTAAACACCTAGAGGTGCAGCCGTTCCCTGGCAGACCGCTCAGCTGCAATGAGAACCACTGTTACCCTTCACAGTCCAGGTGCAATGAACCCCAAAAGCATTGTGCTGACTGAAGGAAAGGAGACACAAGAGCACAAGTGCTGTGATTCCGTTTAAATGACATTTTGGAGAGGACAAGTTATAGAGATGGAAAATAGAGACTGGCTGTGGCCAGGAGATCAGCTGCAGAGAAGGCGATGGCACCCCACTCCAGTGCTCTCCCCTGGAGAACCCCATGGACGGAGGAGCCTGGCGGGCTGCAGTCCGTGGGGTCGCGAAGAGTCGGACACGACTGAGCGACTTCACTTTCACTTTTCACTTTCATGCGCTGGAGAGGGACATGGCAGCCCACTCCAGTGTTCTTGCCTGGAGACTCCCAGGGACGGGGGAGCCTGGTGGGCTGCCGTCTATGGGGTCGCACAGAGTCGGACACGACTGACGCGACTTAGCAGCAGCTGCAGCAGCAGGAGCAGCAGATCAGCTGGTAGCAGAGAGGTATTGATACCTGGGAACATTTGGAGTGATGGAAATGTTCTGTATCTTGATTGTTGTGGTGTTAACATGAGTGTATACATTTGTCGAGATTCTTGCAACTGTGCACTTTTTCAAGGGTGAATTTCACTATTTGTGAATTTTACCTTAATTTTTAAAAAGTAAAAAAATTATAATTAATATTTAAACTGAAAAATAAAGCTGAGGGCCAAACTTCAGTACCTCCTAGAAGAGTAAAGGGATATAATAACCAAAGCAATGCATCAATATTTACTGTATTCAGCATATCATTCATGGTAATAAAGAGCTATAAAAAGACATACTGAGGACAACTAGAAAACCTTAAATTTGTCCTGTATTCTACACGGTCACTCTAGTAAGTCTGGAGGTTTCTAGAATGCAGATGTAGTGGATAAGGAGGAGAAGGCCTTGCTTCACCTTCCTGCTATTTCCTGTGCTGCCTCTTGAACTATTTCATGACCGAAATTGAAATATACTCTCACTAACACATCCATATTAATGTACTTATTGTTTTTAAGTACTTAAAATGTAGTTTAAATTTTTTTTTCCCATGGACTTAGCTGGTGGTCCAGTAGTTAAGAATCCATCTTCAATGCATGGGATGTGCGTTAGATTCCTGGTCTGGGAACTAAGATCCCACATGCTTTGGAGCAGCTAAGTCCATGAACCACAACTACTGAACCTGCGTGTTCTGGAGCCCGTGTGCACAACCAAAGATTCTGCGTGACACAAATGTAGAGCTTGTATGTTGCAACTAAGATCTGAAGTCAAATAGACAGATAAATGAACATTAACCATACTTAGAATAGAAAAGGGAGATTTTTTTTTCAGGGTATGGAAAGTAGTTAGGGATTTATTACAAATTAAAAAAATAGAGAAGAGGTCATGAAAACCTGAAGATAGAGGCTCAAGAGCAGAAGTAAGAAAAATTATCTAGAGATCAAGGAAGCCCTTTTCAGTGCCTCCATCCTCACCTGGAAGTGACTGCTCTCCTAGAGATTTAATCAGATGGTTTTAAGATTTAAAGCAGATGTTCCTTTACCAGTTTGCTAACAATTTGCTAACTGTTTTTGCAGGTTGGCAGATAGGAAAACTGGAGACAGTGACCTACCTGTGCACAAGCCTTGGTCTTCATTTACACTGGCCTTCAGCACTGCCGAGCTGGTTGGCAATATCTAGGAAACGATGTTTAAATGTGCTTTTTATCCTATTGTACATAAAATTTCACAAGCATAATTATTAAAATTGTAGATATTTGTCTCCATTAATACTCTCAAGTGGAACACAAGTATTTGGTAAACTCTTAATTTGAAAAAATGTTAAAGAATCATATTTCTTTTTTATTTCTCTCCCCATCCCTACTCCATTTCTGTAATCAGGGTGCCAGGTCTGCCAAGTTCTGGAGATATAAAAATAGACGGAGATGGTCCTGCTTTTGAAGATCTCATCATTTAGTGGTCTTTACTTTTAGTAGAGATGGTGAATGTAGTGACAAAATCAACATAATATCAAGGACAGTTAAATGCACTTATCTAATCATTTCTAATCTCTGTAAATTTCTGCTTTCCATGTTCTAGTAAACCAGCACAAAAAATCACTGAACTTGAAGAACCAGTGTTCTAGAGAGAGAAAAAAAAATAGCATTTGAAACAAATATTCATCCAGCCTCCTTTTCTTAGCAACATTTTGAATTTCTTATTTTCATTTGCATCTTCTCTTTTGAAGAAAGGAACTTGAATGCCATCTTCAAGCCTTGCTAAAAATTGTTTACAAAATAGCATCACTGGTAATACCCAAGAGTTTGTTAGAACTGCAGACTTTCAGCTGTACCTCAGACCTTCTAAATCATTATATGCGTTGTAACATGATCTCCAGGTGATGTGTTTGCTCTTTGAAGTTTGAGAAGCACTGCTGATGGGCATCAACTCAGCATGTGCTCTGAAGGCAAACCCTTTAGAGTGGTGACGCTCAAAGTATGGTCCGTGCGCAGTATCAGTATCATCTGAGAACTTGTTAGAGATGCAAATTCTTATGCCTTACCGAATCAGTCAGATGGGGCTCAGCCAGCTATGTGGAGCTTCAGTAAACTCTGCAGGTGAGTCTGATGTCTGCCAGTTTGGAGGACCGTTGCTCAGAAGCTGGTTGGTAGATTAGGTGAAAGTAGGAGACACCAGCTTGCCAATCCTCACGCCTGACTCCTCAGGGCTTCTGCTGCTCAGGTGCACAGGGTGATTGAACTCTCTTACAGTCATTATTTTTTAGTGCTCAAACATGGAGATAGATGTTATAGGATCACAGGGAGTTTTAATAAAGTAAACGTTAGTGCATAAAAACAACTCCGTCATTGAAAATTTAAACTCTAAAGAAAATGAAATAGAGCCTTCTACCGATCTTCCAATCATATCTAAAAGACTTGCCTCCAATGCTTTGATAGTCATCATTACAATTTGTGCATGAGTTTTATGGGCATTACTGTAGGCTTTCAAAATTCACTGTTCCAGGGGAAGAAAATATTTGAATAAAAAGTGCTAGGTTTCAGGCAATGAACCAATGATATATTTATGGCGTGCGTGTGCTGCCCAGAGTTGGTAGTTGATTTTTCACACCTGAGTGTGGCTTCAGCCATTTTGGTATATAAGTCCGCTGCTCCTAACGTCCCATTTCTTGGGAAATCCCATGAGTGGGATTTCATTTCCAATCTCAGCCAATGAAGCCTTCCTTGGGATTAAGAGGACTCTTCATCCTTTTTCCTTTGACATGGACTTGTGCTGGGGATTGGTCAGGTATAACATATCGTTTGCAGAGGAGGATTTTTTTAAATGTTGAAAGATGGAGCTTTCAATGTGACTTTTGGATTATTCGTGATTTTGGTCTCATTGAATCTTAGCGATAGCTGAGGGTACATACAGTGAAGGAGGTTTATTTTAGATGCTTGATCTTGAGATGTTTTCTGAGACTCAGGAGTCTGCCCCAACTTGAGAGTTACTTTTCTCAACTCCCCTTCTCTTATGACCCCTTTCAGAGCATGTCAGATTCCCGGGGCTCAAATACTTGAAGTGGGTTGAATATAAGCAGTGTGGGGTGTCCTGGGCTGTGACAGGACCTCAGAACTCTGAGTGTGACATGCTGGAAGGAAACCTTATCAAGGACTCCATTGTCCTTGACATTATTCTTCATAAATCCATTGTGTCTGAGAGGAAGAATTCAGATCAGTTGGGTGATCAATTGTCTTGGTTTACCTTACGCTTTTCTGGTTTTAGCACTAAAAATCCTCCTTCCTGAGCAGGTGGGATGGATGCTTGCCCTATGCATGAACTGTGGTTTGTCAGTTTCTGGTGTCGAAATTTCAGAGTTTCTGTAAGAATTTCCTTGTTCTTATCAGTTGCCTGTTCACAAGGCCACCCAGACCTGCTGCGTGAGTCCTTGTAAGGACCGAAGTGTGTTCATCGTGTGCCTCTCTTTCCTTTCCTTAGGAAGTATTTAAAAAGACAACAATTAGATCACATAAATACCCACTGACCAGCTCTCCAGCTTTATTAAATCCACAATAATCGGCTACGTTTGCTTACATTTTAATTTCTGGTAGAATCAAAGTTCAGGTAAAGTTGAAGTCCCCATGGCCATCCTTGATTCTGTTCTCTTCCCTCTTTGCCCAGATGGAAGCTTGGTAATTTTGCATTTCTCTATGCATTTTATAATTTTATGTTAAACTGATGGATCCATAAACCTATGTTTTGCAGGCATTCAAAACTGTTACTTCTGTTTCATCCTACAGCTTTTGTTGTTGTTCAGCACTGTTTGGAGATTTGTAAGTGTGGGCTTGGCTTAACTCTTCTCTGGTACGCTATTGAGTGAACCCATCCTAAATCGTTTTCATTTTTCTCTTGACAGGTAGAATATTTCCATGTTTGTCTGTTACGTGTTGTTTGTACTTGAGTGTTTTTTGCGCGCCACAGGTGTGCAGGTCGGAAAACCAGCTCTCTCTGGCCCCACTGTTCTCTAACATGGTGTGACAGTTCAGTTTTCCTAGCAGAATGAAAGCTGTTCTCGTTTTCACCAGCACTTGGTGCTTGGAGATAGCTTACTTTTTGACAATCTGAGGGGAAGATAAGGATAACTCAGGCTTAGTTTTTTCTGAACTTTTACATTTTTAGATGATAATAGATTCATATGTAACTGTGTAATACTTGGCAGTTGTATAAGACATGATACAGACAGATTAGTGTACCTTTTACTCAATTCCATCCAATGGTAGCATCTTGCAAAACTAGAGTACAATATTACATTAGGATATTGACATCGATTCAGCCAAGTTACAGAACATTTCTATCACAACCAAGACCCCTCAGGTTGCCCTTTGACAGTCCTGTCTACTCTCTGAAGTCCTCATGCCCCCTCTCTTCCCTCCCACCTCAGTCCTCTTATCTCTGGCAACTATACATCTATTCTCCATTTCTCTGATCTCGTCATCTCAAGACGTTCCCTAAATGGAGCCATACAGTATGTTAGTCCCAGGGACTGGCTTTTCCCATTCAGAAGACTCCCTGGAGATCCGTCTACATTGTTGTGTGTATCAATCCTTCATGCTGTTTTGTTGATGAGTAGTATTCCATGACATGGTTATACCATCGTTTAACCTTTCACCCATTGAAAAGTATCTGGGATGCTTCTAGATTTTTGTTATTATGAACAAAGCTGCTATAAACATTTGTATATATTTGGTGTGAATATAAATTTTTATTTTCCTGGGATAAATGTCAAAGAGTTCAATTTCTGGATCATATGGTTCTTGTTGTTTAGTTGCTCAGTCGTGTCCGGCTCTTTTGTGACCCCATGGACTGTAGCCCGCCAGGCTCCTCTGTCCTTGGGATTTCCCAGGCAAGAATCCTGGAGTGGGTTGCCATTTCCTTCTCATCTTCCCAACCCAGGGATCAAACCCAGGCCTCCTGCACTGGCAGGCAGATTCTTTACCAGTGAGCTGCCAGGGAATCCTGGGTCATATGTAGTCCTATGCTTAGGTTTTAAAGAAATTGAGAGACTAATTTCCAGGGTGGTAATATTTTACATTGACACCAGCAATGTATGAATGGTTCAGTTTCTCCACAGCCTTGTTAACTTTTGATGTCATATTTTTATTTTAGCTACTCTGATAGGTATATAGTAATATCTCCTTGTGATTTTGTTTTATTTTTTATTTATTTTTCATTTATTTTTATTAGTTGGAAGCTAATTACTTTACAATATTGTAGTGGTTTTTGCCATACATTGACATGAATCAGCCATGTTTTAAATTTATATTTAAATAATGGCTAGTGATGTTGGCTAATATCTTTTCATGTGCTTATTTGCAATCTGTGCATTCTCTTAGTGAAAAGATTGCAAGTTATATAATCTTCATTTGGTTGGTGAGTTTTCAGTATCCTCTGAGGCTCCTTTTAGTATTCCAAGTCGACTAAGATTTATGTTTAGTGAAGATCACATAAATAGTCAACTTAACTCTATATCTCATGTCCTACCCAATCCAGTAATTTTAGGGTATTGTGATATTCTTCTAGAACCTAGCCCACATAGAAAATTATATTAGAAAATGATTCTCTTTCTCAGATACAAAAATTACTGTCCAGTTATATTTAGAAGGGAAAAGAGAAAGCACTCAGACACTCAATTTCTATAAAAGCATAGTTGCTAGGTTTTAGTTTTTTGGATGAGTCTTTATTGCTTCATCAACCCTTAGTTCATCCTTTTACACATCATGAAGCTGTGCATACAAACACAGAAACAAAGGCTTGCTTAGAGGAACTTCAGTTGAACACAGGAGATCAAAGATGCTCTATACTTCATAGCAAAAATGGTGTAACATATTGATAGTTACAGTCTTACAAAGCCAGCTCTACAATGACTTCGGAGAACTGGATCAGAAGATTTTATTTTATACTGAAGGATGTATGTTTGCATCGGTATTTTCAGAGGATGAAGTAATATGCTGATACCATCTTTAGCAGACTTGCTCATCTCTAAGACTTTTTTTTTTTTAAACTTAACAGAAGAATGATGCTGCAGTTCATGAGGTTGCAAAGAATCAGTCATAATTTTGTGACTGAACAACAGAAGGGTGTTCTCTTTGTTTATGTTAACTGTGCTAAAATTTTCCAGGCTGATCTGTGTAACAGCAACACTAACAAAGTTTTTCTTTTCTACTTCTTAGCTGTGAAAGTACGCTGCAGCTACTTTTGGTTCTATGCCAAGATTAAACCCACACTATTTCAAAATTTGTACATGAATCCTGATGAAGCATTTTTAGGAGATGACTGCCCTGTAACCTACATTTCACCAGATGCTCATTATGAATTTTTCTACTATTCTAATAAATGCGGCATCATAATCAAAGTAAGGAATGGCTCTTTTACCTAAAGTCTGAATGTTGTATGGTTCCTTCAACAGCCCTCAAACCAGAAGTCATTAAGTTTTTATCTATAATATGGCTGGACTGATTTCTCTAATAGTCACATTCAGGATAGAGGAAATTAATGAAGGAGATGATAAATACTTACTTTCTTGTTGGGTAATAACTGCAAAGTCTAATGTGAACCTTGTAAATATAAAATTCAATTAGTGACAGAAAAGTCAGGAAGAAGACAAGTTAGAAAGCTTCCACATCTCAACAGTTTATCATGTTATGTTGCAGTTTATAAAGTGTTATAACGTTTGGCCTGGTGCAGTCAGAAGGAGGAAATAACATAGTTAAGCATCAGAAGATTTTTCAACGTAAATGTTTCACATCCTCCAGCCCCACCCAGTACTGCTCACCAGAGAATTTGACGGGCCTTACTGCACACAGTGAATGATCAACTTTACGAACTGCTAAAAAAATTTTGATTGGCATTTTGGCTTAATTTAAAAAAAATGTTAGCAGCCTACAAAAGTTTGTTGTAAAGTTACTTGCTATTTTGCTCCCTGTCCCAAATGGAATATTAAATAGAATTTTTCCAGTCTAGCTGAAAGTCAAATATTGGGTTCCACAGAAAGCAAAATTTAAGGTGGAGTTGAGCATGCAGGATGTTTTATTAAGAAGTGTCTATTTTTATGCCAGTACCATAATGTTTTGACTAATATAGCTTTGTAGGATAGGCTTTTTCCCAACAGGAAATAGTTCCATTGATAGAGCTATAGATTCAGTGCGTCTGTGGGAGGGACTACATTTAGGATCGCCTTAACACTGCCACTCTGAACCAGATGGAGTGTAACTCGTGATGCCCCCCGCTGTGGTTTCTTCCTTCAATACAACTTTAGGGTAGTTTCTTTCCTGTGAAAATATCACTGGGGTTTGGATAGCGGTTGTATTGACTCTGTGGACAGATTTGGGTAGTATGGGTATTTGAACAATATTAATTCCTCTGATCCATGATCATGGGATAGCTTTCCGTTGTTTGCCTTCAATTTCCTTCACCAAAGCCTTGTGATTTTCAGTGTTAGATATTCTACTCTCTTAGTTAAATTTATCACTAAGGATCTTATTTTTTGATGCTATTGAAAAAATGGGACTTTTTTCTTTATTTTTTCCATTATTTTGTTGTTATTGAACAGAAACACAACTAATTTCCCTGGGATTTATAGTGAGGAGAGGCAGCTCCCAGGTTCCAAAGTGCACTCATATGGGCTTAGAGCTCATACTCGCTGCGACTAAGCAGTGTTCAGTTACAGCAGTGTTTCTCAAAAGGAGGTATAACCAAACTTTCTTGAATTTGAATCACAAAGATCTTTTTTCTTTCCGTTAACGAGTACTGACTGCCTCTTATACACAAGCATTGTGCCAGATTTTAATGCTTGTGTCCATTTAGAAGATAAGTTAGTTTCCCATGAACAGAGGTTGACTGTGGTCACTTTTAGAGAGCTTGAAGGATCCACAACTTCCTATTCAAATAATTATCAAGTTTCCTGAGGCTCTTGAGACAAACGTCTGCTTAAAATCTCTCTTTGTCCCTTTAGACTTTCCAGGAGACTCTTCTGCTTCAGACTAAAGTCAAGTACATCTCAAGCAACTCCGGAGACACCGCTGAAATGCCGCTGTCCTGTGTCGTCACGAAACAAGCGAGGTGTGCCACACTCCTCCCCTGGCTCCCGGCTCCCTCCTCGTTTTCAAGCTAAGACACCGACCTGAAAGGTTAAAAGGCATAACTAGGGGGAAGAAAGACACAACCCTATTGGTACCATCAGTTTGTTGATTCCTGGCCCTATATATTTCAGAAGTTATTTCAATTGTCTTCTAGGAAAAAGAGTAGCCTGCCAGGCTCCTCTGTACATGGAATTTTCCAGGCAAGAATACTGGAATGGGTAGCCATTCCCTTCACCAGGGGATCTTCCCGACTCAGGGCTTGGACCGGGTCTCCTGTCTTGCAGGCAGACTCTTTACCATCTGAACCACCAGGGAAGCCCTGTATATAATAATACCAGGGGTACTGGAAAAATGGAATGACGATTTTTTTTTATACAACTGTCAGAGTCACTGAAAATCTGATACATCTTAACCAGATCTTAATCAAATCTAGCTATTGTGAAGCTTGAACCCGCATTCAAGGTTCCTGAAAGAGATAAGAAAGTCTAAATGGTAGTATATGAACTCACTAAAGATTCAAGGTCACCATGCTGGACTCAAGGTGTAGGGAGAGAGATGGAGCACACTAGAACAGAATCCATAGGTTAAGAATAATTCTTTTTGGTATCTTAGCAGATTTTAAGAAAGCCTGTAATAATCAAGCTTTTTAGATCACAGCAACTTTGGTCAGGTCTTGGCAAACTTCTGATTGTTGGTAGGACTTTATTTGGATAATTTTTCTGTTAGGTTCTTCTGGTTAAAATCTTGATCTGAGTTTCCTTTCTCCCAGTGATTACAGAAGAGCCTCACTACGTAGTGTTCTTCTCATAGATGATGATAATAATAAATAACAATTAACATTTATTAATCACCACACTCCTGCACTGTTCCAACACTTGTATAAATGGATTTGTTCTTCATGACAGCTCAGTGAGATAGATACTATTATGCCAATTTAGGGGTAAGGAGGTTGAGGCACAGTGAAATTATTTACCTAAGATCATTTTCTGGTAGATGGTAGAACCAGGAAGTTAAACCCAGAGTTTGGTTTCTGAGCCCATGTTACTCATCACCACAAACACCGCCTGCAATGTTCTGGAACAATAAGCAAAAATCAATCCATCTATTAGTCATAGGAATTTGGCCTGAAATACAGTCTTGGAAACAGTAAGGTCTGAATAGGTCTTAGATTCATGTGATATTTCTATATTTTCTTCCCTCACTTTAGTATGTACCCTTTTAATCTTTTTTTTTTTTTTTTTGTAGCATGTACCGTTTGTCAGATGAAACTGAAAGTGGAGATGATGAAACCAGCTCTGCAGACATGGAAGTTGCTTATATAATGCAGTCACAGTAAGGGTCGTCAGAACTGGCATTTTACGATTTTGTCCATGCATGTCCTAGACAAGAGCCAGTACAGTTGGCAAGGAAGTGTCCCCTAATTGTATTAAGGTGTTTTGTACCTAAAAGCTTCCGATTCAGGAATGGGCAGTTCACGCCTTCTTTCCTGTGTTTGTTAGAGGTATTGCTGACCATGTGCTTTTGTTAATATGTCACTAACTTCCAGGGATCCCATCTAAATAAGAACTGTCCTCCTAGGGTATCGCATGAAATTCCATGATAAATGCAAAGATGAAAGAAATATCCATCAATTCCAACATCAATGGAGTTCTGAATCTTAAAAAAAAAAGTGTCAAACTGAACCTACAAAGTGGAGGCTTAGATACATTGGTAATCCCTGGTGAAGTGAATGCAGAAGTGCCATAATGCTTGGTGGTTACTTCTTCCAGGAAGGACCGAATATCTTCAGGCAGTACAGTTCTGCACCCTTGAGCCACATCTAAAGGGATATTAAGATAAATCCACATGCATGTTAATTCTGGGTTATCAATAAAGAGGTGGAGCTATGCTATAGAAAGTATTGGGATAGTCTTAGAATATTTCAGTTGTACCTCATAGTTTAACGAGGTCAAATATCCTTGTTCACTTAAACATGCACTGCACTTGAATTATTACACACTTAAGGATATTGTCCCAAGGGTAAAATGTTTTCCTTTCTCTTGAATTCTCCTCCTTCACTTTTAATCTATACCCTCTCTCCCATCCACCCCCCCCAAAAAACCCTGCTTTTCTGATGAATAGCAAGCTCATTGAAATAGCTAAATAATGTTTATATTGGGACTAATTTTAAACTTTCTTCTATCTCAGGAACGATCTGAATACTATATTCTCTCTGTGCGCCAAATGATGTAACTTACTGGAAGAGAAGAAATGAGATCTACGTTCAAAGGCAACTCCTAAAATGACTGTTTTGGACTGAAGATTTAGTGTGCTGTTTTATAGAAATCAGAGCAGCTGGCATGGAACGGAATGATACCCAGTTGTCTATTTCAAAAGCTAAGTCTTGATTTTAAATCGAATGGCATGTTGCCTTCTTATCTTTTTTTTTTTTTTTTCTCAAAAAGACACTACCCCTGCTTTTACCTGTATGGAGACTTATTTATGAATAAAGTGTGTTCTATTACCTGTCTGTAATTGTTGAAGGCCTGTGTCAGTTTAAGCTTTGATGCTCACTATGAAGAGGTTTTTAAAGGCAAAATGACTAATTCTTCCCTGCTTGGTGGCTGATTCATCAGCTTAGCTAAGGTTTAGTACTAGTTGGATCATTTATTCATTTCATGAACATGCCCTCATGGAATCTGCGTTTTGGTAGGGTCCGAACTATTAAGAAAACATATTCTATAATATTCCAGGAATGGGGGGAAACGTGTGGCAGAGAAGGGAGACTGGTAATGTCTGGGTGAGGGTGGCCATTCTGCACGGGGCGTCAGGAAACGCCTGCCCGGAAGGCGGCCGGCAGAAGACTTGCAGCGTGTGAGGGCTGACCTTACAGACCCGGGAGGGAAGGTTCCGCAAGACTGCAGGGGCGCTATAGCGTCCCTGAGGACGCCAGGCCGAGTGTTCCCAATCAGGCCAGCGTGGTCGGAGGGGGAGAGTGCTAATAAGCGAGGCGAGACCCTCCTCCGCAGAACAAGGGGAGTGGGGAGGGGTCGGTCAGGCAGCCTCTCAAAACTGACCTGCCGGCCTTGGTTTTCATTTGAAACGGAAGGGAGAGGCGCTGGAAAGTCTCGAGTTGAGTGGCGACCTCGGACTTGGGCTTTTTTCCTGACCGGGTCGCCCTGGCTGCTGCGCGCAGAACAGACACAAGGGGGCGCAACGGCGGAGCTGTTGGTCGGCCGCTCGGTCGCGTCCGACCCTGTGACCCCGTGGGCTGTAACCCGCCAGGCTCCTCTGTCCGCGCGGTTCCCCCCGCAAGAACACTGGAGTGGGTTGTCATTTCCTCCTCCAGGAAAGGCTGAGTAGGGAAACCAAGATTAATGTCCGTACTCTAGAGTGGGAGGGTAGGAGGGCTTGGTAGACCAGTTCTCAGAGTTCCCCTCGATGGGTGGTCTGTCCCTTCGGGGGACTGAGCATCTCGAGTCTTTCTTTTCCTTCTTGCAGTGAGAGGTGGTGGCAGCGCTGCTGTGTTACTTAAGGCTCCGGGGTACCGGCCAGGGGTGACACTAAACATCCTACAGTGAGGAAGACAGCACTCCCTACCTCCGCCCCCGCCCAGCATACACACCAAAGAATGACCTGGGTTGAAGTTGAGAGCCCTGGGTTAGATGGAGCAGTGGAATAAACGAAGTGCTCAGATTTTGAAGAGCTATATACCCGTTTAGATGTATCTATATAATCTAAGATTTGCAAACAGTTGGATATGGGGGTATAAGAGAGGAATCCGGGAGACTTTACGATATTTGAGCTCCTGTAAAGTGGGAGGTGCCACTAACTTGGTAAGAATGTGGGAGATCCTGGTTCAGAAGCTCTGTTTGGCAAATGTCAAGTGTAAGATGTTCATTAGATCTCTAAGTGGAGAGAGCAAGTGGGTCTTGAACACATAGCTCTGTGTTCAGAGGAGGTGGTCCAGGCTGGATGTAGAAAATTTGTATTCATCAGCAAAAATTTAAAGCTGATAAGACTGGATGAGTTCAAGCAAAAAAAAGCGAGGAAAAGAAGATAACTGGTTCAAGGCTCAGGTCTTCGGTTTCCGATATTAAGAAGTAGCTGAGAGGAGGCAGAAACTTCAAAGGAGGAAACCAGTAAGGCAGACTGGAAGCAAACCTAGCAGAGACTGAAGTCCTGGAAACCACACAGATGGAGGTAATAATCACATCACTTGTTCTTGAAAGCTTAAGTAGGATGGGTGAGAACCAAGAACTGACTGTTCACTCTAGCAACAGGCAGAGCACTGATGACTCTGGAGAGGGTATGCTTGAAAGTCTGTTGGATCAGGTTTAGGAGAGGATGGATAAGAAGTTAGAGAAAGCAGAAATCCTAATTTGAGAAGATATATGCACAACAGTGTTCATAGCAGCATTTTTTACAATTGCCATCCAATGGAAACAATGTATCGACAGATGAATGGATAAAGACATAATACACACAGACACACACACACACATACACACACAGACACACACATACACACACACAATGAAATACTACTCAGCCATGAAAAGAACAAAATCTTTCCATCTGCAGCAATGTGGATGGTTTTAGAGGGCATTATGCTAAAGTGAAATGTCAGACAGAAAATGACAAATGTCATACAATATCACTTATATGTGAAATTTTAAAAATATGACCAACTAGTGAATATCACAAAGAAGCAGACTCACAGAAAGAACAAACTAGTGGTTATCAGTGGGGAGAGGGGAGAGGGGAGGGGTGAGCCTACGGTAGGGGGTTAAGAGATATAAACTAGTAGGTGTAAAATAAGCTACAAGCGTATATTGTACAACCTGGGGAATACAGTGAATATTTTATAACTATAAATGGAGTATAGCCTTTAAAAATTGTGAATCACTACATTGTACACCTGTAATTGATATAACAGTTTATAGCAGCTGTCAGTTCAGTTCAGTTCAGTCACTCAGTGGTGTCCGACTCTTTGCGAACCCATGAATCGCAGCACACCAGGCCTCCCTGTCCATCACCAACTCCCAGAGTTTACTCAAACTCATGTCCATCGAGTCGGTGATGCCATCAAGCCATCTCATCCTCTGTCCTTCTCCTTCTGCCCCCAATCCCTTCCAGCATCAGAGTATTTTCCAATGAGTCAGTTCTTCGCATGAGGTGGCCAAAGTATTGGAGTTTCAGCTTCAGCATCAGTCCTTCCAATGAATATTCAGGACTGATCTCCTTTAGGATGGACTGGTTGGATCTCCTTGCAGTCCAAGGGACTCTCAAGAGTCTTCTCCAACACCACAGTTCAAAAGCATCAATTCTTTGACGCTCAGCTTTCTTCATAGTCCAACTCTCACATCCATACATGACTACTGGAAAAACCATAGTCTTGACTAGACGGACCTTTGTTGACAAAGTAATGTGTCTGCTTTTTAATATGCTGTCTAGGTTGGTCGTAACTTTCCTTCCATACTTCAATTTAAAAAGAGAGAGGATAAGAAAGCACCTGAAAGAGTGTAAATGACTTCTCCTAGGAGTGAGGCTTTCAAGAGAAGAAGAGAAATTGGCTTTCTCACAAACACCCATCAGTGTAACTTGCTTAACTTCCCTGTGATGATACAATTGCTTCCTCAAATGAATGTGTGATTTCTTAGATTTTCCATTTCAGTCTCAGGCCCCTCCGCTTCCCCCAACCATCTCTGCAGCCACCTCAGAATATAAGTAACCTCTCCAGTCTTTCAAATACAAGAGTAATCCATAGACCAGCAAGGTTATGACCTGGGGGCTTGTTAGAATGACGTGTTAAATATCAAGTCTAATTCAAGCCCTACTCAATCGAACTCTCTCTTTTAACAAGATCCTTGCAAGATTTAAGAACAAAGTGCAAGTTTTTTTTTTTTAAAGTAAATTGAGGGTAAGAGTGAGTCTACATGTTTACTTGTACCCTAAGAGATGAAGCTGAATCTCTTCTATCATAAGGGAAAGGATTTCAGGTGGATTCTATGATATTCTTTTCTCTCCCACTCCAATACCCTTTAAAGCTGGAATCCTTTCAGTATCTTCAGTCAACGAGATACTTATTTCACTGTCCTTTTGTGGACAAGCTAAGATACAAGATGTAAATAGCTAGCTAAAATTGATTCCATTGCCCTCCCCAACTCATGTAGATAGTTCTGCATGGGGTGCTTCTGTATATGGTTTCCTTTTACCTAGCTAAGTGAGAAGCTATTAGCAGAGCATTCTCCACTTTAGGTAACCCTTCAATTTCCTGATCAAAAAGAACGTTGAATTTTCCCTGTGCCATGTGGTATGATAAATTGTGAAAAGGTTAGAGCACCTGGAAATACCCTTGATTTATCTAAAATGTCTAGACAGCTGAAGTGGCCCAATCTTTTCTGCAGGAAAGCCTCTTCCCCCTGCATACAGAGTCTGCAAATATCTTCCTTGAGGCAGGATCTTCATAAAATGACACTTGTCTCCTTAAAAAGATGCTCTGCCTATCCTTAATCCCATCAGGCTGATAATAAGGTCAGGTCTCAGCAGAGCAAGAGGGGAAATAGAGTCTCTAGGGAGGAGATTGTTAGTTAACTGAAAAAGGGAAGACATAAATGTCCATCAGATTGTAGGTCTTTCATGGTTTTCATATGCAGCACGAAATGTTCATTTTCATGGTTTTCTAATGACTATGCTGCCACTAGAAAGGAGGTGTTAGATGCATAGGCAATGATTTTTTTAAAAATAATTATTTATTTTTGGCTGTACCAGGGCTTCACTGGTGCGCTCGGGCTTTCTCTAGTTGCAGTGAGCTGGAGCTAGACTGCGGTTGCGGTGCACGGGCTTCTCCCTGTGGTGGCTTCCTTGCTTCAGAGCACGGGCCCCAGGGCGCATGGGGCTCAGGGGTCGCCACAAGTGGACTCACTAGCTGCTGCTCTCAGGCTCTAGGGCACAGGCTCAATAGTTGTGGTGCACGGGCTTAATTGCTCCGTGGTGTGTGCGATCTTCCTGGACCAAGGGTCGAACCCACGTCTCCTGGTTTGCCAGACAGATTCTTTACCACTGAGCCACCAGGGAACCCAAAGTCAACGATACTAAAATTCTCTGAGACAGTTTATGTAAATAAACCTCAATACAGAACAACACAAATTCCATTTGTTATGAATACCTAGATAGAGATGCACCCGTGAAATGAAATACTTTTAAAGAAAATTACCAAGATGTTCTACAATAAAATATTATTTA